ACATGTCCTGTACCAGTCTAACATGTCCTGTACCAGTCTGACATGTCCTGTACCAGTCTAACATGCCCTGTACCAGTCTAACATGCCCTGTACCAGTCTAACATGTCCTGTACCAGTCTAACATGTCCTGTACCAGTCTAACATGCCCTGTACCAGTCTAACATGTCCTGTACCAGTCTAACATGTCCTGTACCAGTCTGACATGTCCTGTAGATGGTGGAGTTGGCGGAGGTTGGGTTTAGGTGGTGTATTGATGAAAGCGCCCCGACAGGAACAACGATGTTAAGAAAGTTCTTGTATTGCCACTAAGAAGTGACAGTTTTAAATAAAAAATGAAAAATAAATAAAACCAACTGTGATCATTTTATGTGGAAACTGAATATTCCGTCGGCAGAGGTCATCCTGAGAGCTTTCATGTCTGGATACTGTTTTGCGGGTGTATTGTGTGCTCGACTCTTGTAATGGACACTGCTGGACTTTTTGGACACCATGGCATGTTTTATCCTGATGCATGCTCATGGCATGTTTTGTGCATGTCTGCTGGTCTGATGCAGTCTGAAGTTACTACTCTTAAACACAAAGAAGGATCTGCACTAACTAGGGATGTACCACATGTGCAAGATTTCAGAAACTCGGCAAAGAATTGCACCCAACTCTAAAGAATTATTTTCCTCCCTGAAGATTAGATTTTTCTATTTTAAGCTGGTAAGTTTTCCTTTAACAGCACACTTATTTTATTTTTACTGAGAACTCGCTAATGACTGGGCTGCTTGCTACCATTTGCTACCAGTTGCTACCAGTTGCTACCAGTTGCTTGCCATGTCTGGCTCCCCTCCATGCTCTCTCATGTACCTTGGAGTTTTGGGGAGCTCAAATATCGTCCCATTCAGCTGCAGGAAAATGAATATTGTCTGCTCGCTTGCTTTCAGCTTTGTCGTGACTAAACTTAAGGCCTAAAGGTGGAGGAAGGAAAGATGCATTTTGAGGGACTGTGGGTTGGAGACGCTCTGGAGATAAAGGCACTTGCTACCTTCTGCTTGTCAAATTTGAGCTTTTGCAGATCACAAATGCTCAGCCTTCTGCTTCTGTTTGAACTGTTACTCATCGATTGTCCTTTTATGTAGCAGAAAGAAGACTCCGGTAGTTTGGGGACTATTGCATAATCTTTGCTTCTCTTTTGAACATTTTAGATTTCAGACAACTTTTACACTTGCATAAAAAACACCACAGACCCCAAGATAAACGCACCGAGAGTTGAAGTAACAGGAAGAATTGGAAAATGATTCCAGCACAGCAAAGTGCTGCTGCTGCGTTTTGTGTTTGTTTAACCTCTGCCCTCTAACCTCGGACCCTCTGTTGTTGGGTCACAGGTGCCAGGATGGACGAGACGGAGCAGTACAAACAGAGACTGGAGGCCATAGCTGTGAGTCCACACACACACACACACACACACACACAGTGTGGCTAAGGAGACTGCTCACTTTAAATATTTAATGGGTGTGCAGCGTGATGAGCGAGGGCGCTCTCCTGAAAACGACACCACAGAACGACAGCAGCTTTGAGTCGATCTAACGTCTACGGCGGCAGCGTCCCTGCAACAAACCAAACAGTGCTTTGAGAACATCTTAACCTTCTGTTAACACGTCGTTCAAAGCACCGTACCAAGCATTCAGTCAAACTTATGAGTTACCGTATTTTCCTCCGTACCCGTCGCACCACTCTATAAGTCGCGTCAGTCCACATATCTCTTAAAAAGTAGAAAAATCCATAAATATGTCGCTTCGCCATATACGTCACATCTATTTTGCGTCACTGCTGACGCAATGCATTTGTTACGTGTCACCACTGACAACCCAGAAATGTGGGCCGAACCCGGAAATGTGGGCCGGTGTTGTGCCAAAAATTGATGGGCTGCCAAATGGTGGCTGCAGGCTCATGCATAGGAGGACTTTTACAAGAATTTAACAAGATTAACACTTAAAAACAATTATGTGTTTGCTCGACTTTATAGTAAACGTGTGTCTCAGTGTAACGTTTGCTTAATTAAAGGACTTTAACGGTCAAATCAGCTGCATTTCAAAAGTATCCGTTGCCTCGGTGCAATAGGAGCGTGTAGCGGGAGCAAAAAAAGGAAGGAGGAACGCTGCTCATTTCTTCACAATTTAACAAGAAAAGCACCTAAAACAATTATTTGTTTGCTCGAAATTATAACAGAGGTGTCTCAGTCTAACTTTTACTTAATAAATGCACTTTAATGGTCAAATCAGCTGCATTTTGCTGGGATGGTGCAGCTGGTTTGACGGTTGCTCCAAGCAGCCAGCAGAACGGATGTGGAAGACTGTGGCAGGCCGATTGCGTCACTAAAAGCTGGTGAAGATTCTCAGTCATCCAGGACGTCGTAAATTCAAAAAAGTTCAAGACAAAAACAATAAAGTATCAAGTATAATAAATGAAGTCCGGTTGTTTTCGTCTTGAACTTTTTTGACTGTGTCATTATAGCCACTTTTACTTGTATTACATGATACAATGGCATGCCTTACTGCTACTACTACTCTGCTGCCATCTATTGACCAAAAGTGGTGCTGTTCTTTTTTTCAGTCAGAATGAATGAAAACAGTCATATCTCAGCCAAAAATTGGTTTATAAAAATGGGGAAATAATCCATAAATATGTTGCTTCGGCCTATAAGTCGCAGAGCATGCAAATTATGCAAACCAAACAACAAAAACGCAACTTATACAGCGAAAAATACGGTAGTCTTTTTTAATAACTTCATCTTTTCTCAAGCTTTAGCAGGGAAGCTGGATAGCAACATGTGAAGGAGTCCCAAGCTTTAAACACAAAGAATGTTGCAGACTTTCAGGAGTTCGGTCAGTAAAGACCATCTTAGTGTGGTTAAAGGGTCACGTATGTTTAGACACTAGTTGTGAAAAGGAACTCCATGTAGGAAACCCTTCAGCAAACACTGAAGCCTCATTTTGAAGCAGCACTTCCAGATGTGAGCACATCTGTTTTATTATTCCTCCTATCATGGCTTCCAGTCTCTTTTAGAATTTATATGACGTTCTTACTGTTTTCACCAAAGTTCATGCTCATTAATCCAACAACGTTCAGTCAGGTCATCTGGACGGTTTCTTTTGTCGCTGAGACGTTTCGTTCTTCATCCAAAGGACTTCTTCGATCTGAGGAGCCACCAAACCAAACTGAGTCCCACAAACATCTCACTCCCAGACTGGAACAAACCAGTGAAAAAACTTTTCGCCAGCAAACTGTTTTTTTTCAGTCTGGGAGTGAGATGTTTGTGGGACTCAGAACCGTCCAGATGACCTTCTTATTGTTTACTTGAAATCTCCAAATGGTCTTGGCCCACTTGATTCCACTTGATTTAGTATCTTTCTGTGAGTATGAGAGCAACCCTCAACTCTTACGTCTTGACTGTTTGTCTCTGAGCCTAAATACAAACGTGTGGGGTAACTGGGCCTTTTGGGTCGCCTCATCCACACCGTGTAAGTTCCTCAGGACTTTTGCTCCATCACTGAGCTGGGCCTTTTAAAAGTTCATCTTGAAACCTTTTAATTCAATTCAATTCAGTTTATTTCTATAGCGCCAAATCACAACCAAGTTGTCTCAGGGACTTTACAGGAACATTCACATAAAAGCCAATTAGTAAAGTTCTCTAACTGAGGAATCCAGCAGACAAGATGAATCTTGGCTTCGTTGCAGTCTCCCATCCTGAGCAAGTACAGTGGAGACAGTGGAAAGAAAAACTCCCTTTAACAGGAAGAAACCTCCAGCAGAACCAGCTCATATACCTGGTGACATTCAGGCTTTTTGTGGTTTGTTTGAACGGTTGAGCTGCTCCAGCTGCTGGAGAGGACTCTGAATAAATGCTCATTGATCCAAGTTCTGCTGAACGTCTTCAATTTGTCAAAGGAATTATTATCATATAGCTCTATGAAGCGTTCTCTATTAAATTCTGTTCATTCTTCATTTGTCCTCCACTGTTTCCTGTTTTTCTTTAGCTTCTTGTTCTTTTACCGTTAGCTTAGTTTAGGCTGTTCTTTCAGTGCTCGTTGGGTCGACGTGGCTCTTTACATGAAATATGTGTCTTTTTGTCCTCGTCGTCTTTTCTTTCAGGAGAAGCGTCGGCTGCAGGAAGAGCAGGACAGAGCCAGGAGAGAACAGGAAGATGAGAGGCTGAGACAGCAGCAGCTGAAGGTCTGACACTCAGAACACCCCCCGTCCTTACACAACTTCTGAATTGATGTCACTCCAGAGAAACTCATTCAACTTTCATTTAGCCGGGTTAATCCCGCTGAACCTCGGGTCTCATTTACAAGAGATCACCTGCATGATTGGATTGTAAATGGTAAATGGACTGTACTTATACAGCGCCTTTCTATCTTATTTCAAGACACTCTAAGTGCTTTACACAACAATCTGTGTCCTCATTGATCCATTCATACAGCTCTATACTAGATCTCTACAAAGCTAAATGAACAAATCATTCTAAAGAGACTAATCAGAGCTTTATCACATTCATGCACTGATGGACACACGTCAGAGGCTACGAGGGGTTCAGTGTCTTGCCCAGGGACACTTCGACATGTGACTGCTGGTGGATTCGAGCCCCCAACTCTTGCATTGGAGGACGACTGCTCTAACCACTCAGCCACAGCTGCCCCCACGTGTGCACGTGGATCTTTTTCAGACAGTGTAACCCGCCTCTTCCTGCTCCTGCTAGTTTCCTGTAAACCTGGAAGCAGCGTTCCTTTGCCAACATCAGCTTCGTGTGAAGTTTCCTCACTTCGCAGGTCGCAGAGCAGCTCCATTGTTTTCTGCCGTTCCCACTTCCTCCTCGTCAACGTTCTGCCGCCCGGGGACACATTCCTCACATTCTGGGGAATGTGTCCAGTACAAGTGCTGTGTGTTTTCTTTGTGCAGGTATGCTTGTGTGTGCTGGTTACAGTCGTTGTATCTGTGCACGAGCTTTTACCCAGTGCTCCCAATTTGAATTGCAGTTTTACTAAGAGCAGTTGCATCAGACGGTAAATGAATCTTTAATGAAGCCAGGATGATGAGTTACAACATTTAATTTCCCTCTGGCATTAATAAAGTATTTTTGAATTGAATTGAACTGAATTGAATTGGGCAGCACGGTGGCGCAACTGGTAGAGCTGCTGCCTCTCAGCGAGCAGGTCCTTGGTTCAAACCCTGGTCCAGGGGCCTTTCTGGGTGGAGTTTGCATGTTCCCTCCGTGCATGCGTGGGTTTTCTCCGGGTGCTCCAGTTTCCTCCCACAGCCCAAAAACATGCATGTTAGGCTGATTGGTAACTCTAAATTGTCCCTAGGTGTGAGTGAGAGAGTGAATGGTTGTTTGTCTCGTTTGTCTCTATGTGTCCCTGTGATGGACTGGAGACCTGTCCAGGGTGTACCCTGCCCCTCGCAGAGTGATTGCTGGACATGGGCACTGGCGCCCCCCATGACCCAAAATGGAACAAACGGGTAAAGAAAATGAATGGATGGAATGAATTGTTGCATAGCTTGACCGAAGCTGCCTCTCTCACAGGAGACGCTGTTATCAAATCCTTTACATTCAGTTCACTCTCACCTTGGTGGGTACAGGTGGGTCCTGGTGAGTAGGAGCAGCTGCAAGGAAGGATCAGGCTGTGTCCAACTCAGGACAAGACACAGAGACTCGGTGTCCAACTCAGGACAAGACACAGAGACTCGGTGTCCAACTCAGGACAAGACACAGAGACTCGGTGTCCAACTCAGGACAAGACACAGAGACTCGGTGTCCAACTCAGGACAAGACACAGAGACTCGGTGTCCAACTCAGGACAAGACACAGAGACTCGGTGTCCAACTCAGGACAAGACACAGAGACTCGGTGTCCAACTCAGGACAAGACACAGAGACTCGGTGTCCAACTCAGGA